CATGAGGCTAGTGAGGAGCATGAGACGTCGTTGTCAAGCTGTCATTGCGGCAAATGGTGGAAACACCCGTTACTGACATTGGCAATTTTTGTTGTTTGGGGCTATCCTTGTTATTGTTTAAATTTTGGGGGTAATAAATATTAAACTAATGAAAATGGTGTTTCTTCTCACTCATTGTTAGTAATATCAAAGGGAACTTTTACTTACTTCAGACCAAATAGGAAAAGCACTCATGTAAATAACAATATCCCTAACTTATTGTGAGTAGTGTAGTCTTGGGTTATTCCATCTCAAATCATCAGTGGCCTTCAGCTCGACCAACTGTGATGAACTTGAAATAATAAACTGTGAAATTTTTTCTTTAAAGTACATGACTTTTTGAAAAACTGCCCGTCAACCCACTTTCAGCACGTTTTTTTCGCACGTTAAAATTTTACGCTATGTTTAAACAATAATATCTCTGGATATATTCTAGATAAAAGCCTTAAAATTTCACTGTTATTTCTCATGCCATGGATTCAGAATCTGCTGTATTGGACAAGTAGATCAAACAGTCTCTGATAATGGAAGAATTTCAATATGACACAAAATTAAAGCTGTCATGAAAAGTTTAATCTCTGAGCAAACATTAACAAAAAAATTACAATACATAAATCAACAAGTGAACCTTTCTGAACCACATGTAGTTGCATAATGAATAACCTCCACATGACCCTTGTGTAACTAGTAAAGACAATTGTGCATATGTAGATTTTTTTATTTTAAAAATACAAACACTTATTTACCAAAATATTACATAGCTCAAAACGCTTTCTTTTGATTTTCTCACTGCAGGAAAATGATTTGCTTTTATTCAAAGATTAGCAAGATCGCTAACATCCAGTGAAGGACTTAAAATGAAAACTGACTACATCAAGTGATCAGGAAGGGAATTGTTGTGAATGGAACTCAGAAAAAAGCAGCATTATTAAGATCTTTTTCATTTCAGTTGTCTCTGCACAGAGAAATAACTGAAATCCTTCCACAGTTTACTGTACTACTCCCAACCACAATAACTAACATAGTAGCTGCCTTTGCCAACCAGAGGAACGGCAAATCGGCTTAATGATCATCATGGGCTCACACAAATGCAACCATGTGAAATTTTAACTTGCATTCTCTCAAAAAGTGGTCTGAATGAAGCCCTGTCTGACATTCATCCATCTTTTCCCGTCTTGTCCCTTTAGGTGCCTGCAAACACAGACAGCGTCATGTGTTTTGGGCCTCTCGTTCCCGACGGTTACGCCGTCTGCTACAACCCTCAAGCTGATCATGTCCACTTTTCCGTCACCGCCTTCAACTGCTGCGAGGAGACGAATGCAGAAACGTTGGCTCGCACTCTGAAGGAAACCCTGTGCAATCTGCAGGATCTGCTGGAGCCTCCGGTGTAGAGCTGCTGCTACAGCGTCCAACCGGATAAACCTTCCCCTCTACCCCGAGAACAAAACACTAGGTTCCTGACAATATTTTGTCCACGCCTTGATGATTTGTTTTTGTAATGCACACCACTTGTAACGCTTCACTTAATTCTGGAAAAGCCTAAAGACTGAACTCTGTGGCTCTGAGGTGCTTTTGATGCTTTTCTGAAGCTTTTGGTAAAGATCTTTCTTTCTGTGCTGTCACATTGTGTTACATGGTGGATTCACTTAAAGGCTTCTTATGCTACGGTGAATGAAAGCAAGCGAAGCTGTAGCCAACCTGACACTCCAGCACTAATCAGAGCCAGCCAATGTAAAACTGACTGCACTGCTTTTTCAAGTCATGAGGTGACCAGTTACCTTTTTGTAGCTTCTACAGAGAACAAGTGTTTCATATATTTTCAGGTCTTACAAATGTTTTAGATCCAGTTTTGATTTTGTAGTTTAACAAGTGTGTTTTGAAATGGACCAAAGAAAAGTAAGCTGGTTATTGTTGGTGATCTTTGTGTCTCTGAAGCTGGAAGCAGAAAGTGATTTTGAAAGTTGAGCGTTTGATTCTGCGGACAACCTGCAGGACCAGTTAATAAAGCCTGTGAGCACACGATTCATCGTCTCAAGGCTTTGTGTGTCTGAGACGAAGAGAGGTGGAGGCTGTGTTTGTTTTGAGTTGAGTAATGTGCCTTAACATCAGCAGCTATGAGAAAGAGGTTTACGCTCTCACAGATACACAGAGCCCCCGAATATATATGTATTTTTGCCCAAACTACTGTAAAATGGCTCACGACAAAGTTTTGGTCCTGGTCTTTTAATCCGGCTGTGGACGACCGATGACGACCAATAAACTGAGTTAAAAGCTTCTATTTTGCCTTAAAGTTTACATTGTTATTCCTTTATTTGAGTTTTACAAAAACAATCCACTGCAACAGAACAAAATGATTTCCATAAGAGGCCAACATTTTCCGCCAGGTAATATATACATTTCTATTAGCATTTATTAATTGTTCATACTGTTACATTAAATAGCTGTACAGTACACAGCATCTTATAAAGTCATACTATAAAAAATGTAGCTTGGACTTTACCAAAGAGCTTTTCTTACATATTTATACATATGTTATGTTTTTGTGTCATAGATGAATTGCTCTTAAAGTCAAAGAAGTATAAACCACAAAATAATATCAAACTGTATTGTTTATTTCATTATATAATGACCTATTAACACCTTTTTACTGCTGCTTTTTCCAGTTTGACTTCATAGTCAAGTCTTTTAATTTGCATGAAGGCAGAAAAACACAGTCCCAGTATGAAACAACTGTTATTAAGCTCACTTTTTTTTTTTTTATGGAACAGATCATATTCTGTGGAATTTTCCTGATTTGACCTGGGTTTGGGTTGAATTTTGAAAAACTTTGTGAGACATTGACATTGACATTTGAAAATAAAAAAATACTCATTAAAAAATCAGTTATGATAAAAAGAATCATAGGAAATGTTCCCATTTAACTGATAATATAACACATAAGAGACTGAATGCCCTCACATAAGTAGTATATACTCCATAAATGTATATTTGCATACCGTGTTATTTAGAACTACCCCACACGTCCGCTGCTTGGCTGCAGGAAGACTCTCTCTGGTGACAAGCACTTTAGCTTGTTAACATGTTACATTAATGTGGTGTTTTTAATATGATGGAAGACACCTCATGAGTGGAATAAGCAGTAAACACCATGACTAAGCAGTTACAGTGTGATGATGAGTCAAAAACAAAAATTCTGACTTCCACTGTGTCATACAGATGAGGAACTAATCCTGTCAGTTTACAGGGTGTTTCTGTTTCTGTCTCATCATTATTCACAAGTTTCCACTTCGAACATTTGACTGACTTACTTAAATAATACAACTTTCTGTTTTATCTAGCAGTTGTTTACAGCTGCTGAAATATCAGGGTTTAAAGCAATAAATTAATGTATGTACTCAAAAACAAGATTACTATATACAAGATATGAATCACAAAGGTAAATAATAATATCATATTACGATATTTTGGTCATGGTGTAACACTCCAGCAAACAGAAACATTCACTAAAGGTTTAACTGGGACATGGTGTTTAAATGTAAACCTTCAGGGAATGCTCCCCAAATATTCCCTGAAGGTCATTGGTTGGGAACTTTCCTGAAATGTCCAGGGATTGCTCCCTGAACATTCCATGAAGTGAAGATTAGGTTTGCAAGGACATCATTCTCAGACTTTAACCTTTGGAGAACGTCCAAAGTATGTTTCATTCCCCAAAGGTTTCCAAACAGTTGCCTACAACAGGAACAGGAGCATTCCTGTAAAGTTCCCTAAAGGTTACTGGTTGCTGACCCTACAGAGAGAATCCAACAACTTTCTGGAGATATCCAGAGAACCTGAACTATACTATTCCCTGATGGTTCTCTGAGGCTGATGTTCATTGAACCGTCAGCTAAGGTTTCCAAATAGTAACCTGAAACAGGACCCTTCAAAGAAAAAATTCCCCAAGTATCCTGAAGGCTATTGTTCACTCTCCCTTTAGAGAGCGACCTAGGAACGTTCCCTGAACATTTCCTGAATAATCCCTGAAGCTTACGTTCCCCTGAAGGTTTTCCGGGGGTTATTGTTTGCTGGGACTTTGGGTTATGCATGAACTTTAAGGGAACATCCGGGGAACATTCCCTGAAGCTTACTGTTTACTGGTAAACAGTAACAGAGTCAGTTTACAGTTTACACTTTAACCTTTGGAAAACACCTATTCCCCAAAGGTTTTCAAAGAGTAACCTAAAACAGGAATTTTCAAAAAAAAGTCTTGAAAAGTTTCCTGAATTTTAATATTTGCTGAACCTTCAGAAAATGTCCAAGGAGGGTTCCCTGAAGGTTACTATTTGGAAACTTTTAGAGAATGTCTAGGAAACACTCCTTGAACATCTTCCAAAGGTTCCCTGTAGACTGCTACTTGCTGGAACATTCCCTGAAGGTTGCTGTTCCATGACCCTGCAGTGAACATCCAGATAATGTTCTCTGAACATCCCCTGAAGGCAGGTTGCTCATTGCTTAGACATCAGCTTTACAATATAACCTTTAAGGAACATTTGGATATTGTTCCCTGAAGGTTGCTGTTTACTGAGATGTTGTGTTTACACTTTAACACAATGAGAATGTCCATTCCCCAAAGGTTTCCAAACCTAAAACAGTAACCTCCAAGGAAAAGACCTTGGAAGTTACTGTTTGCTGACCTGTCAGAGAACATCCAGGGAACGTTCCAGACAGGGTAGATCCCTGAACATTATTTGAAAATTGCCATTCGCTGAACTTGCCATGACCGTCCAGGGAACGTTCCCTGAACACTGCCTGAAACTTCCCAGTAGGTTGCTGTTTGTGAGGGGACATTGGGTTTACACATAACTCTCAGGGAACGTTTGGGGAACCCTCCATTTTATTTAGTAACAAAGAAGCACAGACAGTCAGGGAATCACAAAGTGTACAAGGTAAATAACAATTATGATAAGTATAAATGTATGTATATATATATATAAATGCACACAAAGAGAAATAAAATTACATAATAAAGTAAATAAGGCACATGGGTATAAGGTTTGTTTTCATGTTATTTAGAGGCTTCAAATTATTATTTTTTTTAATATAAAAGTGTCCGTTCACATTTATTATTTGTCATTAGCTTTAAAGTATCAATATAACAGTATAATTCTGCAGCAAAAACATTAAAGTTTGGCAGGGACTTGGAAAACCTCCTCCTGTGGATGTGAAACTTACCCATTAGGATTATAAGATTAACTAGAAAATTTCCTTGCAGAAAATTTGATAGTGCCACGGGAGTCTGCCGGGACCTTTAAATGACTATTTTATAATTACCAAGCCTACTAAAAACTTTGAATAACCTAAGCCTCATCTGTGTGAAGAGCTGCTGCTGTGTGGAGGGAGCAGGGGGGGAGGGGGGCTTGTGAGTAGGGTTAGAGCGTTGCCGGGCAACGAAGCACACAGCTGCAACAGATACTTGGTTTAACTGTCAAATCAGTCGAAGTGACCGGAAGGAGAAGACCTCAAACAACCGCCATTTTTTTCAAAACCGTGTGTCGGAGAGAAAAGCCGAGCGCATTTTCAGAAAGCCGAGACCTTGGGCATTACAGAGATGTATGTTTTGTTTTCCTGGAGTAAAGATGAGCGCACAATCATTTGAGAAGGAATGTGTACATTTGTGGTCCTTGAGAAAAATCAGTAGCCCTCTTTGAATGGGTGCAGATGGGGAAGGAAGAGAGACTTGTGGAGGAGCAAGGCTCCAACCCCCCCCAAGTTAATTCTGTCGGCTTCGTTTTGATGTAAAAATGATGTCTGTCACAGTAAAACTGTGGCCAGGGAAACAAGTTTAAAAAAAGAGCTCCCACTCTGGTGATGTCATCAGTCACTCTAAAGGACCATTGTAAAGGCTGAAAAGGGGTGAAAAACATTCAAAACTTGAGAAGTTGTCACGAAGAAACGGTTGAAGATATGAAAAAAGTAGAAACACTTTGAAACAGGGGAAGGACGCGTCAACATTTTAAAGTTTAAATGGAGTGTCTAGGTGAAAGTATGCCTGAGCAGTGGAGGTTTGAAAAGTAGTGTAATTTGGGGTGATTTTCACGTCCGTCCCATTCATTTTCAATGGGAGATGTTTGCGACGTTTTGGCGAATTGCGTCGCGAAAAATGCGTTTTTTGTAAATCTGTATGCAAGCACACTATTCCCGATCGAGCCGCACGTTTTGATGTATAATTTGTGTGAGTGCTCTCAAATCTGTGGGGGGAATAGCCGACCGAAATTTTGTACGGAAGAGTAGAAATAGGAAGAAGAAACGCACCAGGATAACAATAGTGGCCTCGTGCTCAGCCCGTGGCACTAATTATGAAGGATAATGTTTTGTCTTTGTGTTCAAATTTTGAGATAATATCTTTGGGTCCTAATTTAATTGACTGTTCAGTTTTGTCAAGGATAAATTTCTCCACGTCCCTCCAAAATACAGAAGACATTTTGGGCAGACATAAAACATACACAAAATTGTCTGAGGCTCGTTCCTACAAAAAGGGCACATTTCATCCACATTGGACCCTCACTTAAGACTACCGTTTACTGGAACATTGTGTTTACGTTGTAGCTCCTCACGAAGCTGTGAGTAGGCTGTTTCCCGCTGATTGGACGAGTGGACACAGGAAGTGACGATAGCAGCGGCCGTTTCACCTTTAATTTAAACCCGGAACAAACAGGAGCAGAAAGCGAAGCAGCTGCTCGGTGTTTATAAAAGGACTGTAAATAAACTGTGGACACGCAGGGACCGAAGAGGCTGAAAAACAGGAGAGTTTCAGAGACGCTGACGATCATCTGCCCGCAGCCGGAACCAGACATGAAGCTGAACATGAGGGCGGAACGTTAGACTAACACATCTGTTTTTGTTTTTTATTTTTCTTTTAACGGCTGTCTTTTTAATTATTTAAAAGGCTTTTATTTAGTGTTTTTTTCTTTTAATTACTTGAAGTTATAATGAAGAGCTCCCTTTGTACCAGCGGCAGGAGTTGGAACGGGAGCAGCGGGGCGGCCGGGCTGCTGTACACGCTGCTCATTACGTGTCTCTGGGCTGCGGTGATCGGTTACAAGCCGGTGATCATAGTTCACGGTTTATTCGACAGCTCAGGGGATTTTAAAAACTTACAGCGGTTTATCAACAAGGTGAGTGTCCGGGCTGAGGGGAAAGTGGTTCCTGGGGATGTTTGGAGGGTTTAAATGGTTTAAAAATGGCATTTAACAATATGTTCAGCAGGCCTTACTGCTCATATCACCATGTTATCAGCAGAACGTGGACCCGCATCATCCAACATGCACTGTGGCACATTGCTCAGCTTTTATCATAGTGGATGAATCAGAAAAGAGTCTTATAATAAGATATGTACGTGTGTTCCTGCAGAAATCTCACCATGATTTAATCACTAAAAGGTGTTAATAGAAACTCTAAAAAATAAAATAAAATCACTCTGGATGCTTTTATCAGAATGGTAAAATGAGGAAAAAGTCATGTAATGTGACATGAACTATCTATAGTGTAGATTTATGCTCTTAAAGGTGTAACTATAGGCTTAGAAATGTCTTATATAGTTTTTTAAATAACATATGTTTTGCCCTGTATTGTTTGCCATATTTTCAGACAAAATATCACAAGTTGATCTTGACAGTTTGGTGCAGTCAAGTTGTGGAAAATAGGTTATATTTTGAGGTTTTATGCACTAAAACTGCAATCACAATCAAGTGTTCACTCTGTGCTTTTGTCATAATGGTATAGTGTTGGAAAAGTCATGTAATATGACACAGGCTAGTATTCATGTAGAATTCTGTGTATAATGTAGATTTATGCTCTTGAAGATGTGATTATAGACTTAGAAATGTGTTGCTTTATATAACATATAATTTGCCTGGTGATGTCCACGATATTTGCAGAAAAATGATCATGAGCCATTCTTAACAGTTCGGTGCAGTAAAGTTGTGTGTAGAGGTTTTATTTTTTTTAAAAACAAACAAACCAAAAAAAAACTGTAGTGATAATGTGACATGAATCAGTATTCCTGCAGAAATCTTACTGTAATGTAGATTATTACACTTACAAGTGTGATTATACATTCATGAATATGCTTTTTTGTTTAGTATAGCTTGTGTTTTATTCACTGAAGTTGCAGTGATAATTAAGTGTTAAGTGTGCTTTTGTCATAGTAGTAGAGTCTGGAAAAAGTCTTGCAATGTGACATGAGCTAGTATTCCCTTCAGAAATCAGTTTACTGTCAATTCGCACAGATAACCGTATGACTATAGACTTATAAAGTTTTTTTTGGTTTAATATGACATATATTTTCCACTGTTATGTCCCCATATTTGCAGAAAAAAGTATATTGACCCAGTCTAGATGATGTGGTGCACTAAAGTTGTGAGAAACCAGTTGTGTGTGAAGGTTTTATTCACTGAAGCTGCACTGATAATGAAGTCTTCCTGCTGCATGCACATACATTAAAATGTGCCCATTCCTGCTCGTCTTCTTGAATTCTCAGAACCCTTCACACACCTTTAAAATCTCATAAACGCTTCGTGTAAGACCTGTTTGCGGTAAATATGTGATGATGTTGCAAGAAGGAAGTTTTTGTGGGGACTCTGGCGAGGTCGATGGGGCTAAACCGGCCTTAAGTTCCTCTTTTTCTGTCGTCTTGTGTTAGAAAGCTGTGGAATGAAACCACACGAGAGATATTTGTGGTGGGGAGTAAAAAAATCTAAAGCGGAAATTCAGACGTCCCAGTTTCTGCTTGAGTTCGTCTGCTCTCCTTGCAGAATAATGATTCATCAATATTTAAAGCCCATCCTGATCAGTTAGAAACCAAACATCCCCAAGGATCTTTGATAACACTGGCATCTGAACTCAGCCTTGCAGAGATTAGATTCTTGTAGCTATGTAACGCTTCATGCAACATTATGAGGACTCCCTTAGTCACAGATCCTCCCTGCAAGTGCTCCAGTTGATGAGCTGAAACCATCAGTTTCTCTTTCTCTTTTAGTCTCATCCTGGAACAAACGTGACGGTCATCGACTTGTTCGACCGAAGCGCCAGCCTGGAGCCCATGTGGAAACAGGTGGAGGGATTCAAGGCAGCTATTTACCCAGTAATGCAAAACGCAGCAGATGGGGTTCACTTTATCTGCTACTCTCAAGGTCAGCAAGTGCACTTCATGTGAATTAAATAATAGAGACATAAATGTAATATTTGCTTGAGATTATAATGGAGCCTTGGTATGTGTCTTTAGCTGCCATGTAATTCTGGCAATAACTGGCATCATACTGCTTACTGCAAATTCTAAATGTTCCTCTTATTTTTTTTCGCATTTGTTGTTTTATTTGCTAGAAAGATTTTTTTTAATGACATTTAGGTGTTTGTCAGCACTTGGAAATCCCCAGAGCTTGTAATTCACACTACTAAACATTCTACATTGTAAAAACCCACAAAAGTTTTCTTACAGCGTTGTACTCTGTGATGAACTTCAGTTTTTAAAATATTTTCTTTTAATTCTTTATGTGTTTTCTGAGTTTAAAGTAAACTTCAACCATTTCCAAGAGCATAAATGTGAAAAATAGTGGTTTTGATAGTTGAGTTGAAACAACAGTTCTAATAACTGATTAGCTCATCTGTTGAAAATTAGTTGGTAGTTGTTTGTGAAGCAGAAAATCCACATATTTCCTCGTTCCACCTTCTAAACTCTGAGAATTTTCTTTTTTTTCCCTTATAGTTAGTAAATGTTTTCAGATTTGTCAAAAATAACAAGACATTTGAAAATGTCACCTTTGACTTATGGAGATTTTAACAGGCTTTTTTCACTGCTTTCCAAAAGTTGTATTTGTCGACTAAACAGTTAATGCAACATTAAGCCACCAGCATGTAAAAACATGATTCTGTTGATGTTATTGCAGGTGGGCTGGTTTGCAGAGGGATCCTCTCCACTCTGTCGGACCACAACGTCCACTCCTTCATCTCTCTGTCCTCACCTCAGGCCGGCCAGTACGGAGGTGAGTGCAGCTTCAAAAAATCAACAAGTGATCAAGTTTAAAGCAAATCAACAAGTGATCAAGTTTAAAGCAAATCAACAAGTGATCAAGTTTAAAGCAACCATAATCAGTATTTTTATAAATATTATATTTGAGTTGAGAGTGTGACAACAGTGCGGCCTGCAGCGTTGACCCTGCAAAAAATTCTAGAATCTGCAGCTCCTCTCGGCTGTAAACCCGGGGATATTTTTTAAAACTTCCACCTGAAAAAACATCCACAAATTTAATCAGCTCAACAGCTGTAAGGCCAAAATGAACAACCTTGGAGCACCTTGCAGAAATTTGCAATAAATAGGTTTTCTTGTCCTCATTATCAGGTCAGAGTGACATCTGAAAAACAACTTACTGTTACCTAATTAAAATTCTAGGTCAGACAGTAAAAAACAATCCCATGACACTAAATCAGTACCAAAGTTAATGCAACAAATAAAAGTACACCTGCATCTCCTTAAGTCATAAAACTACAAGTAGTACATGCACCAGGTTTGCCAGCCTTTGAAAAATGGTGTCAGGTTGTGTTTTTATATCAGATACCGCCTGGTTTCAGTATGGGAATTTCCAGGGTGGAAGAACCTTTTATGGTGAGTTTCTGCTCAACTTTACTTCTTTGGGTCACTTTCAACACTCTCATAGTGTTGCTTTTGGTCACAGCAGGCAACTGTTTTCAGCATTGAACAGCAGACTGACACAATAAGCAGCTAGCTGGTGACCTAAAGTGCCAGATATTTTCCTCAGGAGTTGACAGAGGCAAAAAGCAGAGCTCAAAATGGAGGGAATATAGGACAAAGGGGCAGACACATGACTTTAAATGAACACTATGTGTATGTACTGCAAGATCATCCTGGTAAGGACTTGTGCACTCAGGCTTGTTCTTTATCCCTTTTCAGCTTTGTCTCTTGTTTCTTCTCAGACACGGACTACTTAAAGTACCTCTTTCCTCAGTTTGTAAAGTCGAACCTTTACCACCTCTGCTACACTGCAATAGGTCAGAGGATCTCCATCTGCAACTACTGGAACGGTGAGACTCCAGGAACTACTTTCTCCAAAGACATACATTTTCAATATAATCCTCAGCTTCTCAGATTTTATAATTATCATTTAAATATTGGCTATTTCAAAGACTTTTATGCATTTTATTGTACAAAAGATTGTATGTTTCAAATTGTTAACCCTCTGAACCCTAAAAACTGCTGCAGGCTTGAAAAACACATTTATTAAAATCACTTAAATTACCCCATTTATCAGAGCCGAAAACTGGAAAAACAGAAAGAATCAGCGAATTTGATGTTCAGTTCCATCACAAAAGTTAGACAGATATAAGGATGTCATTATGATATTTGATCTAAATTACTTTATCCTACATGTCTCATTTAGAAAATAATGCATTTGCACGATACAGATTCTGTAAAGCACAAACAAATCTGTGTAATCTGTAGCATGTAGAAACACCTTCTACTTTTTTTTAACCAGTATTGCTGACACCTGTGAGCACTTAGACAAATGTTGTACAGCTTTTTTGTCAAACATGTAACATGTAAATCTAAGAAATTTATCTATTACAACTTTGTTATACTGCACAGTTTACATTTTAGGTTCTTCCAGTCATGGTTGTGCTGTTTCCATAAAGGTACTGTTCTTTATATTGCAGTGAAAAATGAGCCCACAGCGATTAAAAATGTGACGGAGTTCAGAGGGTTAAACTACAAAATTGCTTCAGAATCAAGTATCTTATCCTTCCTCCTCCCCTTTCGTCTCCAGACCCCCACCACAGAGACCTGTATGTGAACAGCAGCGATTATCTGGCTTTGCTCAACAGCGAGAGACCAAATCCAAATTCAACAGGTCAGCAAGGTCCTCATGGGGAGAAATCCATCGACAAGTTGTAAACTGCGAGGGGGTGTATGTTTATGCTCATGACATAACAGTGACCGGTTTGATCTCATGACTTTTAAAAGTAACTGTCAGTAGTCAGGTGACGACATAAATGTTTTATAAATCACTGTCATTAAAACTTCTGGGGCTTCAGCCTGAGAAGGTCGCACAGTGCAGACTTTTTAAATGACACCGACAGGATTTTACACAAATGCATGAACCCTCAGTGACTCAGTATGTCCAACAAAAGATAACAGGACTACCAAACATTTACACAAGTTAGAGACCCAAACAACAGATAGACAGTAGTAGTTTCCTGTGTGTAACTGGATGAGAAAAACTAGATTAAACCTCTTTATTTACATTTATTCATAACAGACTTTCTTACTTATGTTGTCTCCTTGTCTTTTAGTTCAACACTACATTAAGGAATTCACACAAGATTTTAAATCAAGTTTACCATTTAAATATGCTCCTTGGAATTCATGTTGGCATAATGATGTTTCAGTTTTTTTTTTGTTTTTTTTTAAAAAGGTAGTTTTTATGAATTATGTTTTTTTTTTTCTAACCACAGAGTGGAAGAAGAACTTCTTGAAAATCCAGAAGCTAGTGTTGATTGGAGGACCAGACGACGGAGTCATCACTCCCTGGCAGTCGAGGTGAGCTCATCCTCTGGCTGTTCAGTTGTTCAGTTTGTTTGGATCTGATGTGATTTCAAATCCATTTTACTGAAATTCCAACGATGCGTGACTGAAACTGATTCTGGTGCAGAAATAACTAAGCAACCAGGGTTAATGAATTGTACAGGTCTTCTTTTTAAAGTGAAAACATTTCAGTAGTTCTTGTTAGTCAGTTGAGGGATTTATCTTTCCACTTCCCTTGGATTCTACCAGATTCATCAGCTGCTGCAGTTTTCTCTTTTAACATCAAATTTCACTGCTTCAATGGTCTAACATTAACATTTTTTTCCAGCATCATTAGACACTTTTTGTGCTCTCTTCACACTTTACACAGCTTCCTCTGAGAGTTCCTTTATTACTTTTCTGTTGGACAATGTGATTGTACATCGACAGATTATGGCCCTTTTTGCCTCTTTTCAACAACTACATATTACATTTTTCACCTCATGTGCAGTTTTTTAAAAAATTTGCCCAACTGTACCTTCAATTTCCAGAACTAAGGCATAATATCTAACCTGTACAGTGCACTGTCTGTCCAACAAAACTGCTCACTCTTCCATATTAAACACAGACACCTAAGACACCTAGTTATTTACCTATCTCAGGGGAGGGTGGTGCGTGGTATCGGTTCTCTCTGTTTTTTCATGTTAATTGCTTAAAAACATGGTGAAGTTTAAAAAGAAACTGTTCCTTTTCCTGACTGTGGATGATCTGTTTACTCTCATCTGATGCTCACACAAGCATTTTCTCCATCCTCCGTCCTCTTCTTAAAGTCAGTTTGGATTTTATGACGACAACGAGACGGTTGTTGAGATGCAGCACCAAGACGTGAGTAAAAATCACACACACAACAGCAACCTTTTGAGTTTATTTAAATTCCACTTTGAAATCATTAATAACTATTATTATTTGTGATTCATTTTCAGTTATTTAGTTTTGCACATGCAAGCCCACCAATAAAAATATCTTTGCACTGGTGAAGAGTTGGGGCTGCAAGGTGGCGCAGTTGGTAGCACTATTGCCTCGCAGCAAGAAGGTCACCGGTGGGGGCACCGGGATCTGTCTGCGTGGAGTTTGCATGTTCTCCCCTTGGGTTCTCTCCAGGTTCTCTGGCTTCCTCCCACATGGTCCAAAAACATGTTGAGGTTAATTGGTGATTCCAAATTGTCCGTAGGTGTGAATGTGAGTGTGCTTGGTTTTCTGTCTCTAAGTGTAGCCCCGTGATAGACTGCCCAGGGTGTCCCCTGCCTTCGCCCTGAGTCAGCTGGGATAGGCTCTAGCCCCCCGCGACCCTAGTGAGGATTAAACGGTGTATAAATGATGGATGGATGGTGAAGAGTTACTCTTACATATAATATTAGGTTATATATAATGAAATACATATCTCTTCCTAGTCTGATGAATACAATCTGCAAGCAAATCTTCACTTTTTAAAACAAAACTGGAAGAACTCATCACCTGTAAAGCGTCACCTTTAAGTCCGCCTTTAAAATGCAATAAAACATGATACAGTCTTTGTTAATAGTAATATATAATAATATGCACAGGAGCTGCTCTTCAGTGATTTTAATAAGACTGCTTCAAAACTGAATTAACTCATACTTATATCTAATGTCCAAAGATTCCCTCACAGTGTTTTACATAATTATTCTGTTATTCCTTCTTTATTTTTTCCTTTATAACAAATCTGAACACACCGACATGATGCACATATTTTTAGATTCATCGCGACTTGTTGTGTATTATTAAATACATTGAAATACAGTAAATGTTATTAAATCTGCCATGAAATCCTACAGAAAAAACATAAGCTTGTTGTGTGTCATTGTGACCCAGTGGTTGCTTGTCCGTCCATCCATGCTCACATTGCAAACAGGACTTTGTAACAGCAAATTCTGTGTAGTTTTACTGATGCCAAGCTGCCAAATGTAAACAAACACAAGTTAAAAATGTTCTTAGATTGCATCTCTGATTTACATCCCTCAAAATATTATATAATAAGACTTAAAGCACGATTTTAAACAAATGTATGACAAAAAAAGCTCATATTAGTGACAAAATCCATTAAAATGGAAATTTGTGTTATTTTTTGAAGGCTCATGATGTGTTTGTGTTGACGAGGTTAGAGCTGCTGGGGGTTTTGGTTTATCAGAACTTCACTAAGCACTAACTCCTGCTCTGTTTTCCCTCCTCCAGCTGTATTTACAAGACATTTTCGGCCTGAAGACGCTGGCGGCTCGTGGAGATCTGATCCTCTGCTCTGTTCCCGGTGTTGAACACGTCTTTTGGCACTCGAATGAGACTGTGTTCCACACATGTATGGAGAAGTGGCTGGTGTAGAATGAAATTCTGCTGCAGTGCACACACACATACACACATACACACACGCACACGCACAGATAAACACACATCTCACTTTATAAGCTTTTACCCTCCAGCACCTCTACAACCACTGTGTAGGATCCTGACAGAGCTTAGTGGAGGACGTCGTCTCATCTTCATCCAACAGTGATTCTAGGATTCAGTTTACTTTTACTTTCTGTCAAGGGGGTTTTTGTTGTACATTTATTTTTTTGTCTTAACAAAACTTTCTTAGGTCACTTTTAAACTAGTAGATCTACATTTGGGAAATACGTTCATTTGCTGTCTTGCTGAGAGTTAGAATTTCGATTCCACTCTCATTTCTACACAGCATATATGAATCCACAGCTCACATCCAGTCAGCTTAGCCTTACATAAAAACTGGAACTGAGGGGAAACAACAACCTCTCTTTGCCCAAAGGTGACAAAATCTGCACATTGGTATCTCTAAACTCACTAGTTAACACTTTATATCACCTTTCTTAACCTGCACAAAAGGTAAAGTGTAAAATGACCATCTACATTTTCATTTCTCAGATTGTCTCTTAATGTGGGATGCAGGTTCTTCCTGGAGTTATGTCATCTTCAAAAGGTTGCATCAACTCTGTAGATTAATTTTTGTACAGATTAAACTAACAAGATGTGCACATATTGTTCAGTGAGCTTCAAGGCAGTGGTGGGAACATTTTTTTAACCTTAGGACAGAAGCAGGTTAGCTGTTTTACCCTGTTTCCAGTTTTTATAAGCTAATACCTTCTGACTGATATTAATGTGCCGTGCATTTCCCAAAATGTTTCACTATACTATTTAATATTTATTAATCCGCATTGTTGCTAAATCCAGCACATCAGTGGGTGCTGAAAAGTTTTTACTGAAGTTTCACAGAATTACTGAAGGTTTAACTTCTTAACATTTGCCCTCCTTCATGTTGCAAAAATGATACACCCATATACATAATAGAAAAAGTTAAGAAACAACCGTTTTTCTGTGTGCACACTCTTATTCAATTTAAGGGATTGTTGCTGCTGTGATATTTGTATCTTAAAATGGTTTACACAATGTACAGTTTGCCAAATGTGATTCAAAGTGGCACGACGCCTTTCTAAAAACAGCAGCAGAATTTTCCCTCATGTTTGGTTCGTAATTGTTGAGGGGTTAAATCTGCTCTTATCTTTGACAGTCTGCAACGGAAACACAATTCACACTTTAAAGGAGCATTCTGCCAATTTAGCACTGCTTTTCCAGCGCTACCGAAAATTTAACTGCAGGGAATCAGAGAGCGACCAGAAATCTGTGAAGTGCAACAAAACATTCATTGGTTGCACCAGTGCAACTGATATTTAACAGGTTTGTCTGTGTTTCTGGGCGACCCGTCCTAGTGGGTAAATCATTTGGTTGGCCTTATTTCGCTCTTCTTAAAGTAATTTTTGGGCACACAGCAGTCAGAGCTGCTGCTTTACAGTAGCTTAGTGGAGACTAGAGGCCTCTCTGTGCTCTGCCTGTTGATGCATGTGAGGCCTTTCGGGAACATCAGTAACTTGTAGCTTCAGAAAACAGCCTGGTCAACTCCTTCCTGTGAAACTGCATGAGTTTCTGCATGCACATTGGTTGTGCTACACCACTCACCACTACGAGTAAACTCTCAGCCTGTGGGATGCACTGAGATAAAAACAGTTAACATTGTGTATTATATTTATTGTGAAGAGTATGGCCAAATTAAAATGTTCTAAAAACATTGTGTGCTGTGATGGATGCATTTAGGCACAAGGTAGCAGCAAACGAAATCGATGAGGAGTCAGAAATTAAAATAACATTTAACTCTGCTTATAATGTAGCCAAAAACGTGCTGCCTTTTACCAAGTCCCAGATCATTTTATTGAAATAGAACAGGTTAAATAACAAACAAAACATTTATCTGCATATTTATTCCTGTTGATAATAATTTACAGAATGTGGTGAGAAATTCTCAGTCGGTAGCAGAACCAACATTAAAGATAACTCTTACCATTTATTGTTAAGCACTACAAGGTCAAAAATTTGGGTGCACCTAAATTGTTAGCTGTTACATCTAAAGGAACAAGTTGGACTTATCAATGCAACCAATGGTAAAAAGTTAGTCTGGAGTCAATGTAGAAGAGGTTAAGAGTCTGAGATATCCTGACACTTACTCACAAGCCAGAGCCAGGTCCCACAAAAAATGTACTTTTTCATTCAACCTTTTTCTCTCTTTCACATTTTTGGCAATTTTATTGCTAAAAATAAAAAATCTCAAGCCCAAACTGTGTTAATCCCCAGAAGATCCCCACTGTTGTTACTTAAGGTCTCCCCTTATGTGCTCTGAAATGCAAAATTGGTGGAGTGAACCTTTAATTTGTCTGAAAATATGACTTTATTACCTTGAAGGCCACATACAGAGTGTTTATCCATGTGTGTGTCTGTGTCCGCTTGGTCACACATACCTCAATAACCCCACGCAACACAACAGTGCCTGAGCGACATTCGGTCCTCTCCTCTTCATATACAGATTCACTGCCCTGCTCATCTTATGATGCAGTCATTTCTATCTTTTTAACCCTGCGGACTCAAGTCCCGTCTTTTTTATCAGTGTCTGATCGTCATGTTTGTTGTCACTATCATGCAGTGCTTTAGAGCTTTAGTAGATTAAGCCTTAAATTTTCCCTACATGTCTCAGTGTTTCTTGTCCATTACCAAAGTGCTATGACACACTGCCTTTAGTGACGGTGCTAAAAATACCGATAGGGAGGGATGGCGACGAGCAGATGATGACTAGAGGGTGGCAGTGCTATGTTAGTGTTTACTGGTCCACCAAACTAATGTACGTGGCACTCTTTACCTCCCATCGCATTTAGAGAACTCAGGCGTTTTAGAAACCTTCTGTTCGTTCGTCTCTGTTGGAAAAGGGATATGTTTTCTTAACTCTTTGCATTTTGTTTATTGCTGTCTGTTGTACTTATAGATGTTTCTCGAAGGACGGAAAATGGAAATGTCTATTGTGTGATAAAATAACAAGGGAACTGCTACTGAATGAGTGGAGTATTGCACAGTTTAAGGAAAAAGGGAACTTTTAAAGACGGGATGGTTTTAACTGTGTTGAAGTGTTATTTTTAGTAATGTTGCATCCTTTGTTTCATGTATGCTTGCACAAATGATCTGACCTAGAACTGACTGAACTGTATAAATTTTGGATTTAAGGGACATCCTGCTCTGTTCAATTTTCTTGTCATACAAATGGTAAACATGGATACGGACACTTTTTCAAAACTAAAAACGGAAAGTACTATTTTGACAGGGTCCTACGATTTCTATAGTGTTTGTCCTGCAAATAACAAGGTGTCAAATGCTGTCAGTTCCTCAATAAAAGACAGTTTTGAACATCTGATTTTGTTTATTTTGACTGAAATGGTTTTGTCCTTGTCTAGTTAATTCAGAACACCTCAAACCTCAAAAAATAGACAAAACTAGCACAGAAGTTAACACTATAATAAAAATGAGCACTCTTTAGTGACAGATACTTTCTATAAGTTGTACTTATCTCAAATATAACACTGCAGCAAAACAAAAATGACATGTTTTCACTGAGAAACACTTCTCTGATATGATTAAATATTAATCCGTTTTTTTCCCCATGTTGCATTTTTTCATATTCATATTTGCTACTTCTTTTAGGTTCTTTAAGATCACATTGTTTTCTTAGCAAATATGCCAGACTTGGGCTGCAAGGTGGCGCAGTTGGTAGCACTGTTGCCTCACAGCAAGGTGTGGCTTGAACCTATCCCAGCTGATTTAGGGCGATGGCAGGGGACACCCTGGACAGTTCGCCTGTCTATCGCAGGGCTACACTTCGAGACAGACAACCAAGCACACTAACATAGTCGCCTACGGACAATTTAGAATCACCAATTAACCTAAACATGTTTTTGGACCTTGTGGGAGGAAGCCGGAGAACCCGGAGAGAACCCACTCTGCACGGAGAGAACATGCAACTCCGCGCAAATAGATCTTCAGGTGTCTTCACCGGGACATGAACCGGTGACCTTCTCGCTGCAACGATACTAATCACTGAAACACCTTGCAGCCCTCAATAACTTCCCCAATAGTATAATTCAAAGTTTGTTTCTGCAATCAATGCAATCAACCATTTTACAGACTTATTTTGCCAATAGAATAATACATATTTTCTCTATATTATAACCTTATTGGTGAAAACCCGGCACTGTTTCGTCAGTGCAACTACATTAACAGTTTCAGAGAATAAAAATGCTGTTCCATTTTACCCCAAAGCTGCAGTGTTGTTTAAAGAAAACTACATTTCCTATCACGCTTTGCGGCCGGAAGACTCCGAGCAGCGGACCGGATATCTGGCCACGGCGCACCGAAAAGGCCCTTTTCCGTCTCAGAGAAGTGTGGAGCAGAACGGCGGACACAAGTGAGCAAAAAAATTCACCCTTCATTTGCTTCATGTGCCTTTAAAATGTTTGCTATCGGATATTTACAAGCTTTATGGACTTACGCTGTCTAACAAATTCAAACAGAACTTCTTAGTTGTGTCCAAACGTGTTTTTATTCTCTCTATATGTTCCGTACGAGCACAACAGCGCTGCGCGTTAGCATATGGCTAGCCAGCTAGCACATGTGGATGCTGCATGTTGATGAGCCGCCTCAACAGAGGCGACATTCAGGACACTAAACCTCAAAACGTTGCGACTGTCTTAGTTTTAGCGGTACAGTTTACACTGTAGAAAATATCAGCGGTGATGAAAAATGTGTAATGACGCTGGTGTTACATTTTTTTTTTAGCTTGTTAGCTGCTATAAGTCGAGTTTGGTAATTATAACGTGATTCAGGCTTCAGCTGCGGCCTGCTGTTGAAGTGTTACTTTCTATAGCTTAACTAAGGTCTGACCTGATATTTAGATATATCTGCTGTGATTACAGCTGTAGGGCATTAACGTGCTTCATAACCAAATATAAAACTGCGTTTTGTCACCGATATATTACTGTAAAACTAACCTTAGCTTCTTGAGGGGTAAAATTGAGCAGTGACGCTACTGAGCTACATTTAATCTTAGATTAACCTCAAATCCTAATAAGTACATTTGTTTAATAAATGGTCATATTCATTCTTGAGTCAGTTCTATATTCCTAATGTTAAATAGAGATTTGGTAAATGATAAAGGCATACCATCATTATGCAATCACCTTAACAGCCTTTTGGGATATTCCTCTTTTGTAAAGATGAAGACGGAGCTGCTGTAATTGCTATCATATGACCGATTCAGAAATTTACTTTAACATTGTTGAGCATCAGAAGAACTTAAAAAGGGAATTGAGGTGCTCTGATTCCTCAAGGTGCAGGTTTTTCTCTGCAAACAAGTTTTTAGCACCCTCCAAATAGAACTGTGACAATTAGTTGTCAGCTGTTGCCCTAACCACCAACTATCGTAACTGATTAAGTTTGAGTGCATTTTTATGGACGTATGATCATAATTCTGAATTCCTGCTTCTCCAATTTGAGTATTTTCTTGTTTCCTTACTCTATTATGATAGTCATAAGAGTACCTTTTAAGTTGTGGACAAAAAAAGGGACATTTCTGGTCATCTTGAGCTTTGTTCAAAGTTAAATTAGTCATGTAAGTTCAAAAAAAAGAATTGCATGTAAAATTAGCAATTTGAATTTTAAAAAAGTTTTATTAACTAAAAAATTTTTCCTCGGTCATATTAGACATTTTTGTTAATCAAATGGTCAAAAATCAATTCAGTCGCAGTTGTATAGTTTAGTCAAATAAGGTAACACACTCATTGCCTTTTCTATGCACAGACCCATCATGTTTACATACCACTCTAAGCCAGGAAAAACTGTCTCAGCTTTTTCCTTATTTTCAAAGTAACATTTCTCTTTTTCTTTAGTGACTGAGTGGGAGACTGCCCCAGCCGTGGCTGAGACCCCAGAGATCAAGCTCTTTGGCAAGTGGAGCACTGATGATGTTCAGATCAACGACATCTCCCTGCAGGTGAGCAGAATTAAAGGGTAACTGCTGGGGGTTGTCATCATTTTGCTGTTGTAAAACGAGGCCAGAGTTACGCCTGGACACTGACATGTTGTCCTGATGTGCTAGAGTGCTTGCAGAGGAAAAGATCTCTGCTTATTCATTGGCTGTAGTCTAATGTGGCCCAGTCAATTACCGGCTCAGATACACCAATTTGTCAACTTGCTATTTTCATATAAGTGTGAACTGTGACGTTTAAAGTTATCACTTTTCTCGACAGGATTACATTGCTGTCAAAGAGAAGTACGCCAAGTACCTGCCACACTCTGGAGGACGTTATGCCGCCAAGCGTTTCCGCAAGGCCCAGTGCCCCATCGTGGAACGTCTGACCAATTCCATGATGATGCATGGCCGCAACAACGGCAAGAAGCTGATGACCGTGCGTATCGTCAAGCACGCCTTCGAGATCATCCACCTGCTGACTGGAGAGGTACTGCCACTTTATAATATATAATACAGTGTATGCCTTACTTGTTCATTTTGTCAAGGGTGTTTAAGATAATTGAACTGATCATAACTGAATCATATTTTGATAATCCACAGGAAGTTCTACGTAATTAATGAGCAGAGGTAGATTTTTGTTGGTCCTCACAGATTTTAAAACATACAGACTGTTTTCAATAAGATCCTGCACAGTAAATTACAAGGAACCTGATCTAGATGTTCTCAGAAACACAACATGCTGGCAAAAGCTGCATCGACTTCAATAACTTACAACCAAGAATATTTTTTAAGCAAAAGTACTAATACAGCAATGTTAAAAAAATGCTCACCTGCAAATAAAAGTTCTGCACTAAAAATCCATTATTGTAAATATGTGGCAATCAGATAAAGTTTAGACGGCTTTCATTAGGTTTAAAGTTGATGCATGTTAGACAAGCATTATATTGATCAGTTGTGGGTGAGTCGCTTATATTTTTCACACCCAAATGTGTTTTGTTTAAAAAATACATAATTACATGCTGCTGTTCTTTTAA